GGATCGAACGACTGCGTTCTTTGAAATCGAATCTTTTTGTGAAGCAACTGTAAAAGTAATTGATATTTTGTACTCATTTAGGCGACGGTGTCTATCTTGCAAGCGATTCCAGTTAAACTGCCCAGTAACTGGAACCTGGCGTTCGAATTCGACGTGATTTGGCCGATACCCCCTGAGGAGAGCTTCCGGAAGAAGTATCATAAGAAGAGGCCGTGGATGGTGAAACGACGTCATCGTCGCGAATTGTATGCGACTTTCGAATCCGCGTTGGATAGGTATGATGACTGCGTCTAGATCTTTTGTCTTCGTTCTGAAGCAGCGGAGCAACTTGTTTCAGTCGAAACTTACCAGGAAGACAATGTGTTCTCAGAACCATCTGCGAGGCAAGGACGCTGTTAAGTTCACCGGGTGTGTCGTTTGTGGAAGACGTTATTCGATTGATATTAAGGTAAGGTAAAGTGAAATGTTCTGTGAAACGAGTTGTTTTACAGCCAATTCGAACGACGTTCTCACATCCCTTTATTTCCGTCACCTGTTCTACCTGGATTGTTTTTCATAACGACAGCAATACGTAGAGTTTTTAAAAATAATGAAAATAATATCAGAGATGATAAAAATTGTATTCCTTGTTTATTCCATTGTATTTCATACAGCAGAATAGACAAATAAACGAGGAGAAGAAATTATAGTTTGTAAAAATGATGATATGAAATTGTGTGAATGCTGTTCCTCATTGTTATCGACACGGGAAATTTTTTATTAGTAAAAACAGTCGAGTTAGTCGAAAAAATATATAACTAACTAAAACATGTAAAAATAGTGTAAGTTCAAGAAGAAATAATGAAGAACGAAGTAAAATGCAATAATGTTAAAGAATGTTACGTTTCTACGTGTGCCATTTTTTAAAATTATATTTTACACATTGCTCCTGCACGAAACAGAATGAAAATTAAGCTTTGAAAATGTGATGTTAAACCAAATAGACAAAACCTTTGCGTTCAATGGGTTCACATATTTGCGATTGTTTTGCAATTAGGTTTAACTTAAACGGGGCCATTTTAGAAATGCACAAACGATTATTGTAATATTCATATGGGCCACTAACGCAATTTAGAAATTCGTCATGAAGCGTCATGATTCATAATCCTTTATAAGTAGCCATCGTTCTATGATGTGGTTCTAAAATGGACACGACTTTGTCGAAACGAGAGACAAACAGCTTTCAGAGAGCTTGGCCTGAACGTGCTCTTACAATTTACTAGGATTATCTCTACTTTTTACTAGGATTATTATTTCCTTTTATTTCAGTAACACGGAGAAAGTGAAGGGAATCGATTCCTACGACGTTGCTTACAGAACCGAGATGCCGTGCGATGTCGTTCATCCTTGTCCAATTTCTCTGTTGAAGCTCTTATTGTTTAACTTATACTCTGACGATCTAGGTTAATAATAAACTTTTTTACTCGATGAACTTTTGGTGCACGAAAGATACCTTCCAAACCCAACGATCCATCAAATTACAGCTCAAAATCAATGGCTCGATACCGCTCTATATCTGAATTTCCATGCGAATCTGTCATGTCAATTACAAGGAATTTTACACGAAATATTACTTGAAATTATTGATTAAAACGCAAAGTTTTATCAAGAATTCGAATTAAAAATGAAAATTTCAAATCGTTTGCAAAAAGATCTTGTTCTATTTCTTTTGATATTAGGAAAAAAAGTAATGTATTTATATATATAATAAAAGAGAATATTAGGGAAAAAGTAAAGCATAAAAGGTTTATGTAATACCATTAATTTATATAATAATATAATACTATTCTTATATACCTTATATTATTATGCAGATTACTATTGTCATTAATTTTATTATTATTATGTAAATATATTTTCCTCTGTATAATACTGTTCGATAAATACGAAGAAAAATTATAATAAGACGTGATGAAATTATAATAGAATTGGCTAGAAAGTTAAATGGATGCAGATCTATGTTACATTTACCACATTTCGAAATAATGTAGTATTACGTTCTCCATAAGTTCCATAACACATGAAGTAACTCTTTTCTTTTTCCTATTTTGTATCAACTTCTGATGGAATATTTGCAACTTGTGTACACTAGAACATTCCCCAAAGTTTGTAGAATCATATTACACTGTTAACTCAATTTCGACCAAAATGCAACACGGATCCTTATTCGAGATCGTAATTCTCTTGCGTAACGATGAACTCACACCTTGATGAAATTATTTAAACTGTTACATTGCACAATGCTCACGGATTTACTTGCCATAGCGTACCGTTTAAAAAATTGAAGATCATCTTTATTAAAAAAAAAAGAAAAAGAAAAAGAGAAAATAATACAAATGAAAAAAAATTTCATGTTGCTTGTTGAAAGAACAGTACTATTTTTTTCTTATATTTACTGCTTTACGAGTAAAATGCTAGCTAATAAATTGGTGAACATTCTGTATACGTGTCGATGCATAAGTCTCGCTCGCATTGTATGGGAGTGATCTGTTCGATTATTGAATATTGTCTGTTTTGAGGTTGATGTATGTCTCTTGAGTTTAACGACGTCAGGATGTTCGTGTCAAAAGCTTAATTTTCCAATTAATGGCTTCCTAAACATCGCAGCTGCGCGCCCTTAGCGTGTATTCTCTTGGTAGAGATAGGACGATACTTGAAACGACGTGGGATGTTCAGTTCTTATGGAAATATGAAACTTCGATAACTATCGAGAAATCGTTGCGTTGCAGTGATTTCCAAATATCGTTTCGAAAAATCATATACTGTTTGTAATTCATTGACATTTTTAGATTTCAATCTCAAAAAATAGTCTTTCTTCTGGTAGAAACTCTACCAACGAAAACCTCACGATCTGTGTTCTCTATTCACGTGCTCCAACTCAGAACAGAGACAAACTCTAGAGAAACGTATTTACTCAGTATTTTCAAGTTAATGAATTCTAATTATTTCACTGTCTGACGAAACGTGGAAAAATCAATCGCATCTTTCTCTTGATGTCTTCAACTATCCTTCGTTCGTTAAGAGATTGAAATCGAAAGGACGAGATCTAGACTAACCTGTGGTCTAAGCTCAGTATCTTCGAGTTAATCACAGGCAGACTGTCCTTCTTCGCTTCCCAATGGACTTGCGGATAGGCTTTAAGACACTCACAGGATCCAGTGACTATAATCATCCGATTTCTGCTAAATCGTTACGCTGTCATCGACGAAATTCTCAGGTGAACGCCGGCAGCCCTCGAGGCGCGCAAATGTAAATCAACGACGCGACGACTCGAGCGGAGAACCGGTTAATACGGATCCGGCCTGATCCTTATGGCACGAAACCGATTTAAGCGGCTGCGACAACGCGTCTCATGCTCCAGCTGCTTCTGACAAGAATCGTTACGACTCTCGAAACACGATCGTCAGCAGTGATGGCTGCGATTATTAGCATCGGCGCGGTATTATCAACGCCTGGTTATGCCTCGACGCGGCCGCGAGAATCAATTCGACGAGTTTCCTTTCATTCGTTAAGACTCGTCATAAGATGAAGCCGCGTTTGAATGCACGGGTCTGAAGTGACCTCGATTAAAACTGTAATTTTCGGTAACGAAATGGAGATTTATGCAGATAGGTTTTTGTTCGGCGGACGAGCTTTCAGAGTATTCACTGTCATTTCAACGCTTTCGAGTACATCTATGTAGTTCTTAATACATTCGGCACCGACGCGACGTATTTTGGCAGGATCGTCCCCAAAAAGTCGACGATATTTCTCCGTTGATGGAGTTAAGCGTTCGATGTAAGGTAAGCATATTTTAAGATGATTTTAATGTGAAAAAAATTTCGTCATCGAAACTATACGAAATCATTTTTCGTATGCGTCGCTATTTTTATGTGTTAACAAACTTGCTTATATATTATAGTCGTTTATATATTCATTCATTTCTATCTAAAAAAATCCATTATTATATGAATAGTGATTTCGAGTAAGAGTCGAAATTATTAATATAGTATTTATAATTCTCATATGTCACTATTCTTATGTGTTAGCCTTTCTTATACTATGGTTATTTAAATGTTTATTTATTTTTATGTAGTGCCAAAATTAATTGTTATATGAATGGTGACCTCGAGTAAAGATCTATGTTGCATTCTCGAAAATTAATAATATAATATTTATTGATATATAATAATATAATATTTATAACTCTTGTGATCAGTAATTTTTAATAAATTCTATCGTCAGACTGAAATAGAAGAAGATAGAAGAAAATAAACATTTCAAATTTATGGAAAAAGTATAATTTTAAACCACATTTTAGAATGTGGTAAATATAACGTAGTCCCTTATTCGAAGCCACCGTTTATATAATGTTTTAAAGATTTTATTTTACAATTGATCACACTAATAGAATAATTCTTTTAGATTGCGATCCAAGGACTGAGTAAGTGATATAACATGTCTTCATCATCGTCGATAAGTATTTGAACTTTTGTAAATTATTTCAAATTATGAAAAATAAATGTAATTCAAATAAAACTCTGATCTAATTCTGATGTCGTATTTCAGACGACTACGTCGTGTGCAGTTGGTACATATTAATGGAAATTATAATTATTATTCGTTAATATAAATAAAAAAATAATTAAACCCTTCAAAAGCCAAACCGGTCAACTCAATTTCATACGGAGTTCCCGAATTTCATCAGTGGATAATTAATATTCAACGTTGTAAAAAACGCATTTAATTATACAGGGAGTACAAATATTAATTCCAAGGTAAATTTTGAATTTTTCATTACATTTTAATTTAATCATCATGGTCTTTGAGCAATTCGATTAAAAATGAATGACAATTTATTCCACCGGGAAATGTTCTTTAATCATAATTTTAAAAATAGAACAAAAAAATATCAACCTTTTGATCAAACTTTACCAGTTGAAGTACTTATGAATGACAGCGGTCAGTATTCAGAAATGTGTAACAAGTAAAAGCAAAAGTTCAAGTAATACTCAAGTAATCATTTTCCCCTTTTTATAAGGGAATCGTATCGTTATTCGTCGATTATTTCAAAATAAAAATAAATAGCAATCTGCTGCGTTAAAAATTGCAATTCGTCAAATAAGAATTTCAATTTGCTAATCAAGATTATCTTTGAATAAATTGTAATTAGATAAACCATATTGCAATTGAATGACAATGAGAAATGGGCCTGCAATAATTTATAAGAATTTTAAAATAATTTAATTTGCGTGTTATCGATGATCGGACCAATTTTCCTCGAAGAAATTAGATGAGTGAAAAATCGAAGACAGGAAGTTCGGTATTACATACTTCCGCTGGCGGGGAAGAATTTTAAGATAATTTAATCTGCGAGTTCCTCAAGTCGTGGAAGTTCGTTCCGAAATTTTCGCAACGTAATCCCGTCACATCTACCAATTCCAATCATTCCGATGATATTGACTGTACCTCGATTGTCTTTCACACTGTTAATAGCAGTTCAGGGGCACATCGATCTCTTCGAAATTCGCAGCACGATGGCTGGTTAATTTTTTTTTCGCTGCCTCAGCGAACGCTAATTTTTCTCATGTTCCTCCTTAAACTTTCCCACTGTCTTCTCGTCACGTGGACTCGGGAACGAGTCCCAGCGGACTTTTTTCCATCGCTACGCGACCCAATTTTCCGGTTTCCAGACATCGCTATCGACAGCTCTAAGAAATCGTTCTTCGCCATTTCTTCTTTTCCATGAACAGAAGCTGTATACAGGACCCGGTTCAGGAATTAAAAAATTCTATATACATATAGTCGAGAACAACGAGAAAGGTTCGTGCATATGAAGTATTTAGCCTTGTTTTAATTTTCTGTTATTCGTTATTTACTATCCTATTAATTTAACAATTGGTGGCATTATAATTCAATACTACATTGTATTCAAATTCCTCGTCATTGTGCACTTAATATACGTACAAATATGTAAAATATCGAGAGCAGGATAATTGTTATAATATTCACCACGCGAAGTAAAATTTCGCTCGAAAATGTCGTTTCTTCAATTATGTTGATACTACAATAACCGGGGTTTTGATACGTATTCATATTATTCTGGATATAAATCATTATAATTTAAATGATAATAATTAAAATAGATAGAATAGATGAATGGAAATCAATATCAGTATTTTGACAAAGTATCTTCCAAATTCGGGAAAAAGAAAATCTGAAATCCGTCGTATTGAGTTTGTTTGTTCTAGTGTAGAGAAATTATAATATTATAATATTAGAAATACAAATTACGAAATTATGCTACATTAAATATTGAATTATACTGTCATAATTCGAAACTTAGTATTACAATTTCATTATATAACTTGTTGTTTAATATTGATATCATGATATTATTTACTACTAATATTACTAAACGAGCATAATTCAACGATACAAAAAACAAAAGAAAAAAAAATATTTCTTTGTCTCTTTAAATGCTTAGTCCGTTAGATAACATTACGATCAATAATAAAATAATAATTATAGATTCAAAAATATGTCATCAGAAGATACATCTTTAGAAGATGAATGCATTCTTAATTTGTTACACGGCTCTCATTACATGTTACTTTTAGATTTTTAGAAATTCTACTCAAACGGTTAAGCAAAATTCGATCTAGTATAAAACGTATAGATAAAGGTCCGCAATGTGTTGGTTACTAATTGGATAACAAGTGACAGAACACAGAACTCGTTATGTCCCGTAAACGAGTTACAAATAGGATATAACTTATATGACCTTTTCCCCATTGCTCTCCATCCTGTGTATTTTTTTCATTCTCGTTCGGCCATCAAGCCCGAGCTGTCAAGAGTTCACAGCGATAATCTAGAAATCAGAACACCGTCGAAATTAACCTACACGTGGTAATCAAACTGGGTCTGTTTGACGTCGCTGTTCGGACCAACGTGCAAAGTCGAGCAAATTATCGTTTCGATCGAATTATCACGCTAACGAGGGACACCGAACTGGCTTTTTGTCACGGCCGCCTTCCCGATCGCTTTGCCGGACGTTTGTTAAATTCGTTCGTTTCGAAATATTCATCCAGTGGCGCTCAAACTGTCGTGACTCTAATACGTTTTCGCAAGCTTCTCTCTTTCTCTCTCATGGACGTGGGAAGTTTGAAGCTCAGGGTTCTTTATGTCGAACGTAATCGGTACGTGAGACCAATGCTAAGGATGTCGTAAGAGGCGCCTTTCCAAAATTCTCGACGTTACATTCCGGCGATTTTTCCCCTACGTGATTTTCAAAAATCATCGTTTGCTAAGTTCCTAAAAATTGTCGATGTTGCAGATGTATCTAATATATTTTAAGCATTTATTGCAAAGCTTTTTATTCGAATGTGTCTTCTTTTCAGCGGATATTTTAAGTTACTAAAGCTAAAGTGGATTTTCAATTTTTCAGTTGGAATCTTTGTTTAAAACAGATAGAAATGGATTTTCCTTTGCAGCACTAGGGACTTGGTGAGACAATAAAGAGTTGCATAAATTTCTAAATAATGGCAATAAGTCTGCGCATGATACAATTATTAGTTTAAAATTAAATGCGCCCGCAGTGATTAAGAATTAAAAATTCACCTTTATGGAAATTTCATCATTACGTTGACCATAATTCATAATACAACTCGATGGCGACAATAGAGCATATGACGTGTATTATACTAGAATGTGATTATGTAAGTGTCATCATCATCATCATCATCGTTATCATGATTTCTATAACATTAGTTATTTAATATTTCATATTTCATAATCTCATTATTTATTGAAAGATTTATCGTGTTATTTCATTAGTTTGCTCAGATAAGGAGTTAGGAAATAATATTACATATCGTGTATAATACACACACATAATACAACTATATTTATATTTTATATATTTTATATTTTCAAGTAATAGCAACAT